AAAGCTAAATTTTTATCAAAAAAAATTAGTCTATCAGATAATAAAATAAAGACAACTTGGAATATAATTAATAATGAAACTGGAAGAAATAAATTCAATGAACGCACATATTCTTTAAAAATAGACAACAAGATTATTCGGACAGATGATGCCGTTGCCAACACTTTTGAAAATTTCTTTTCTAGTGCACCGTTTGAATCAACTAGAAATCTTAATTCTTGTTCTAGGTTAGCAATGACCCTCCTTGAGTCAAGTGTTGATAAGTGCAGTAATGATTTTTATTTTAGACATATCAGTAGTGATTGTATTATAAAAACATTTAATTCTATTAATATTAAAAAGACAGAGGATTTATGGGGAATATCAACATATATAATAAAACCGATTATCACTGTCATTGCGCCACAACTGGCCATTATATTTAACAAATGTATTGATGAGGGAGTGTTTCCAGATCTAATGAAATGTGCTAAAGTTATCCCTCTTTTTAAGGCTGGTGATAAATCAGATCCCAGCAATTTTAGGCCTATATCTGTATTACCAGCGCTAAGTAAAGTATTTGAGAAAATAATTTATAACCAATTGCTAGCACACTTTTCTATAAATAAGCTACTTCATTTAAAACAGTTTGGTTTTACCAGAGGCAAAAGTACTACTGATGCTGGAACTGCACTTCTCAAACACATTTTTGATATATGGGAGAGTAAGCACGATGCTATTGGCATTTTTTGCGATTTATCTAAGGCGTTTGACTGCGTTAGCCATGAAACATTGTTAAATAAAATGAAGCATTATGGTGTATCAAATATTTCACTAAGTCTGATACAGTCTTATCTTTCTGCTAGGATTCAGAAAGTAGTTATAAATGAAGCTGAGTCTACAGGAGCACCCATTTCTATGGGCGTGCCCCAGGGTTCAATATTGGGCCCATTGCTTTTCCTTATTTATATTAATGACCTTCCTCACTTTACAAGAGATTTGTGTGAGACAGTACTATTTGCTGATGACACCTCTTTAGTGTTTAAAGCTAGGAGAGGAAATGATTGTTATGACGAAGTAAATTGTGCTCTCTCTGAAGTCCTTCACTGGTTTACGGTAAATAATTTAAAACTAAACTCTAGCAAAACAAAATGTGTTAAGTTTACTTTACCTAATGTGAGGCAGGTTAATACTAGTTTAAAAATAAATGACCAGCCTGTAGAGTTAGTGGATTCTACAAAGTTTCTGGGTATTACTTTAGACTCGCATCTGCAATGGGATCCTCATATTGATGCCTTATCAAGTAGACTGAGCTCTGCGGCCTTCGCTGTTAAAAAAATAAGACTCCTAACTGATGTGGAAACGGCAAGAATGGTTTACTTTGGTTACTTTCATAGCGTAATGTCATATGGCCTTTTGTTGTGGGGCTCAGCTGCTAATATAGAAAGTATTTTCGTACTGCAAAAGAGAGCTGTTCGCGCCATATATAATTTAAAGGCAAGAGAATCTCTTAGAGAAAAATTTAAAGAAATTAATATTTTAACACTGGCATCGCAATACATCTATGAAAATATAATATATGTAAGAAGAAACTATGACGCATTTGCAAAAAAAAGTCAAACCCATAACTTAAACACGAGATTTAAGAACAAGCTTGCCGTTCCATGTTTCAGACTCCAAAAATCAAGAGGTTCATTTCTGGGATGTAGTATTGCATTGTTTAACAAAGTTCCCCAAGATCTGATTGAGCTTCCACTAACCAAATTTAAATCTCAGATTAAGAATACTCTTATGAATAAGGGCTATTATAAAGTTAATGATTATCTAAATGATCGTAATGCATGGACATAGTGTTTCTTGTAATTTCTTATTTGATGGGTATGAGTCAGTTTTGTAACAGTAGTATGGTACCTATCTAATGCCGCTTCCTATATATACTAAATATAAAATTTGTTGTAACTATATATCTATACCCTAAATAATGTAATGGAAGGTGACTTCAGAAGTATGTCTGAAGTCATTTTTCAACTTGACGACTCTGTATATATCAATACAGGGAGAAAAAAGCAGCCCTTGCTGAGTTTCTTGCCGGTTCTTCTCAGTACAAGGTCTCCCGCCGTAGTTTTGCGAACCGATGGCGTAGCTTCTTGACTTTCACAAGTGCTTGTAACAGCCTAGACTGAATAAATGACTTTTCATTTCATTTCATTTCATTTCATTTCATATCGTCGTTGTAAAAATAGAGCTACCTGCACCGTTGACGTATCTGCTTAGATGAAAAAATCAAATGTGACTAATGGAAGTAAATGACATACGACTGTTAGTGAAATCCATTATAAGTATAAATTATGGTTTTTAGTGGCGTATGGTATTATACGACATTTAGTGATATTTTATTGAGGATATTTACTTCAAGTGCCGTCATTTAAGCGTTTGATTGTTATAAAATATTGAGCTTTACTGAGTTACCTTAGAATCGTAAATTATTTGGAAACGCGGGAGAGGTAGGGGGGAGAGCGTCTGACTTGCCAGTCGCCAACCGCGCCTTAGTTTAGTGCGAACGACGATGCGTACGAGTATAGTAGTGTGTTTTGTGTAGCCGCACCCGAGCGAAAACGTGTTTGAACTGGTTACCGTGAGTATGTTATACCTTTACTTGGTTCTATTTTATTGATTCGAGTAGATATCAATTGTTTTACTTTTTACAGATCCTTTTTTTTAAAATGGACGTCATAGTAAAGTGGCGGGATGGAACAAGGAACTGTGTTTCTACAAAGGAATTAAAATGCACTAACAAAGGAGATTACGTTACTCGTATTGGTGCCCAAGTAAAGATGTATTATAAGAATAAGTGGTACTTCGGAACCGTTGTTATGACAGAAGAAGTTAATCAGGTAACGTTGGAGAACAGCAAAAGGGATGATTTTAATTCTTCAGATGATGAGCCTTTGGTTAACGTATTGAAACGGTATGCTATTCAGTTAGATAAAGAAGATCCATTTTGCAATATTGACATTGTAGAACCCAATGATCCTGACTTTGTCATGCCATTAAGCCCACGAAGCAGATCAGTCTCAAGTGATGCGACTGTCTGTTTGGAAAATAATATTACTATATTCGATAAAAACAATAATTACCCCTCTGAACATACTTATTATGGCCCAAATCAGTTAATTTATTCAGGAAATGAAGATTCTTACCACGTTCAATCTTGTGAGGTAACTGTATGTCACAATGAAGTCTTCAGCTCGTGTTTTAGATGTCAGATTTTACTCTGCTGGGAACATTTCGCAATAAATGATAGTTCATGCGAAAATCATCTTTATATTCAACCAGATGATGCCGGTCAAACGCATTCTGAATCTCCAAGTATTTTACTTAATAATAATGATCAAATTCAAATGCTTCCAGAAGATTTTTATGTTGAAGGAGCACCAAAAGAGGCAAATATAACTAGAAAAAAGAAGTTCGATAAAAAAAAGTTTAATAAACTTATGAAAGATAGTGGGGAGGTATATACTACCCAGGTCACCAAAAAAATTATTCCAAAACGTGAAATAAAAGCTTCATGTAACGTCGTCACTTGTAAAAAATACAAAAGAGATTGTTATCTTTTTAATCAAGAAATTCGACAAAATATATTTGCGAAGTTTTGGGCTCAAAGTAACTTACAATCTCAACGAGAATATATAGTTCGACATATTCAAAGAATGCTCCCGAAACGTAAGATTGTTCAGTCAAATTCTAGAAGACAATACACTTTGATTTACCATATGCCATTTGAAAATGTTTCAAAAAGAGTGTGCAAGAAATTCTTTTTAACTACTCTGAATATTACTGAACGAAACGTGAGAACGGCTCTAGAAAAAGTTGATATTACAGGTGTTGTTGAAAAGGATAAGCGTGGAGGCCGCAGAGCCTCACATTTAGTGAATGACAAGGAATGTTGGCGATTGATAGAAGAACATATAAACCGGTTCCCAAAGGTGGAATCCCATTATTGCCGCGAAAAGAGTACTCGTGAATACCTTAATTCCGATCTAACTATACAAAAAATGTATCAAATGTTTTGTGATGAACTTAAGGATAGTCCAGTAAAGCCGAGTTTATCCTTGTACCGCCGGATATTTAAATGCAATAATTTGTCGTTCCACCGTCCTAAAAAGGATCAGTGTAGTCTTTGCATGACGTTCCATAAAGGTTCAGAGGAAGAAAAATCACGTTTGTGTGAAAGTTTCAATAAACACCAAGAAGATAAATCTTTATTTCGTCAGAAAAGAGCATTATGCAAAAAAGAAGCCCAATACACTCCGTCAAAAATCCAATGTGCAACTTTTGATCTGCAGCAGGTCATCAACTTACCTATCAGTAATGAAAGTGCAGTATTCTACAAAAGGCGGCTCTCGGTATATAATTTTACCATTTACGATATGGCAATGGGAGATTGTTACTGCTTCACTTGGCACGAAGGAGAAAGTAAAAGAGGATCGTGTGAAATATCATCTGCACTGTATTCTTTTTTCAAGAAAAGTGATGACAAAGGAATCCAACGAGTTTACTTGTTTGCCGATGGATGCAGCGGTCAGAATAAAAACTCGGTCGTTGCATCTATGTTACTGTATATTATAAATAACTCTAGAAACATAAAAGAAATTATTTTACGTTTCTCAGTACCTTGCCACGGTCAGAGTGAAGGAGATTCCGCTCATAGTGCAATTGCTTACGCACTGAAGAAAGCAGGTGATATTTTTATACCTAGCCAGTTAATACCTATTTTCAAATTAGCGCGAAGGAACAAACCGTACGAGGTAATAAAATTAGACTACTCAGACTTCCTAAATTTTAAAAAAATTGCATCTGATTTACGCTTGCTTACAATCCGAAAAGACGACACAGGAAAAAGTGTTAATTGGACTGAAATGATGGAATATTCGGTATTAAAAACTGAACCAGAAAAACTATTTTTCAAAACAAGTCATGCTGACAAAGTTTCAAGATCTTTGTCTTTGAAAAGACAGGTTTCAGCTTGCCTTCATGAAGAAATTCCTCTGCTTAATCTTGAGCGACCTAAAATTACACTAGAAAAATATAACGACTTGATGTCGTTAACTAGTGGTAATACACCAATAATAAGATCTTCAGAATATATTGAATTTTATAGATCACTTTCGCATTAAGGTATTTTCTTTGTTGATTTTGATTTTGTTATTATCATTAGTTTCAATGTAGTAACATGTTTGATTTTTGTTAAAGTTATCAAAATTTTAATTAGGATTTTATTTTATTTTTCATATCAAGAGGTATTGATATTTGTTTAAAATAATATATTACACATTTAAAGGACTGTTTGTTTAAGTATGTGATTATTTTATGAATAACTCTAGTAGTTTGTCATTAAAATTACAAACAAATACTTATTAATGAGAAGTAATAATTCATTACAATGCAAAGACTGATTAATGTGCATTTCTTACCGTTTAGATGAAACGAAATATGCTGTGATTAGATTAAATATTGTGTTTGACAATAAAAAAATATGAAACCTAATTACTTTTTTGTTATTGATAATCAATATTATAATTAGTTACTCTTTATTTTACCTTCCAAAACACTACACATGGTGGCGTAAGTGTCACCTTTAAGAACTAAGTAAAAAACAAAGTTATCACAGAGTGACGTAACTGTTTTATGTTTTAATAAATAAATAAATACATGTTATATGTAAATGGACCATGTACTGTCTCCAAACTGATGGTCTTCTCTCTTTATCTATCCAATTAACTTGTATGTAACACGCGCCTACTATCTGCTACAACTCCTGATATCTAGTACTAAACAGAAAATAGGTTGCCCTGTAAAATGTGCCCGTTGTTAGTTACGACACTTAGTCATGTGAGGGACGATATGAGATGTTTATAGTTGTAATAAGTATGCGTGGGAAAATAAATTTATTATTAAATTTTGCACTGGGCCTACGTGGCGGGTCATGGCCCCTTCACAGATTTCTTCTATTGGGAAAGCCTGTGCTCTTTATTATTATAAGGGTAACAATAATAAATGCTTTTTATCAACAAAAACAGAGTAAGCAATATTTGAGGAAGATGAAATTATCGGACATGGAAGCAACTACATTTAATGAGATTATTATCTATAGTGAAATGCAAAGTACATTTTACTAACTTTAAAAAAAAAGTAGAGTAAAGTAACAAAATTATATCTGAACATCAGTGGGAAGTTTACATAGGTTACTATTTTATACTTAAAGACGGAACGTTGTGTACTAGTTTTTGATCTCACCTAATTCTAATTAATAAAGCGTTACATGAAGAAAGAAAATAAAAACTTAATTTAGAGAGTTTTCTGAGCTATTAATCAAATGGTAATTATTATGATAAGCAGGCTCTGCACATCAAATACTGTGTATACCACTTTAACCAGGTATATGCTTCATTTAAACATGTCTTGTACACAATTGCTAATCAATCAGATGTACAGTAGTAGATACAAAGTAGGAGTAACTTAAAACTGACGCACATCAATACTCAACTTGGATCAACATTAAACTTGGACGCAAAGCGAACAGATCGGGATATCAAGTGAAATATTCAAAGTGAACACAACTAAGTACTGGAGATCGCTATAACTTGCTGTCGTAATGAAAAGCTACATAATTCCCGAGTTGACAGCGATACGGACTCGATCGTTTGTAAGTGTAAGTACGTTCTGCGTGTAAACACTGTTTATCAGTACAAACCAGATAGGGACAGAAGTCAATCTACTTATAAAGTGCGCTTGAGCAACGCACACATAGACATCGCTCACAGACAAGACATCTCGGACCGGTTGGGACTTTTGGAACGATAAGTTTCTTTTTGGACGGTTCAGACTTAGCGAATGGGAGCTAGGCGAAAAGAGTGAAAGATTTTCCCTCACAAGCGTTAGTTTTCATATGTTCCATAGTGTTTTGTGTGTAGTTGCGTTCTTATAATTATCTTAATCTTAATTTCGTTCCAACCGAGTGTTCCATGTACAACACTCACGTTTGCTTTTTGCTATTATAACTGTTCAGGAGACGGTTGTTTAAATTCAACATTAAACGGCAATTCTCCGTTCTTGGAATATATTACAAATTGTTGTTGTTGTTTCTTATATACACTCAACAGCCGGCGTATTTGCCGGCTGTTAACTTGAAGTTCTGATTCGATTTCTCAAAAAATATTAAACGTACAGATATCAAAGCTATATCTAAAGAAAGTGCGTTTCATGATGATTAAAAAGACAAAAAAATAAATATTCCAGAGTACTGTCAACTTACTTTGTAATCAAGCAAGAAACATAATGCTAAAGATTTGATAATTTTTTAATAGTTGCGATTATCATTTAGTCTGATACTTCTTATCATTTCTTTAGTTTTTGTCCATCGTTTTCTTACACGAGTGTATTTTTGCTACGATTTTGACTACCGATTAACACGACTGGAACGAATCTTGAATAATTTTAATAGTTTTCTGTTTGTTTCAATAGTCAAGAAACGCACTTTCTTTAGGCATAACGTTGATAGTTGTAAGTTTTATCCTTTTTGAGAAAATTAAATCAGAATTCCAAGGTAGCAAGTGACTCGGTTTATTTGCTGTCTAGTGTATTACAAATTTTTATAACATTATCATTAAAATTGAAATTAGTTATTATTGGTTTATAAATATTTCCATTCTTCCTGTTTTATCCTAAGATCAATAAATCAAAGAACTAGATACGACTGCCACTACCACGATAGTTTCTTGTTCATATGGCAAAATTGACAATCCAAGCGCGACGAAATACATACCATGTGTTTGACTTCTGTATCTACCTGTTTTGTACTATCAGTCAACTTGTGTCAGGGCTTCGTGCGTTGCACGTTATGTCGACAATCGAATACCGAGTGACGTTTGATCGGGTTCAGCGAATTTCGATTCTTCAATTGGTTTCGGCTGTATATTGTCTTGTGTCAATGAGCCTGTCTGCCAGACACAAATTGAAAGTCGTTTATTTATATTGAAAGATTAACGTAGTCGTCGAAATACGACAGTCACAAGTACCACCTACCTACTAAATACGATTAATAATACAGTTTGTTATTTGTTAATGTGTTAAAGTACTAAATCAGTCTAATTAAGCAAGATAAAATAAAACAAAGAGAGATTACTCGAAATTAATTTGGATGTTTGGACCAGAAAAGTCAATAGCGTTGGCGGAGTACGCTTATTGAGTCATTTATCCTAACTATAAGCGCAATGATTAATATCCCGGATATTTAGTTCGAGGGGCCCACGGTTACTCAGGAAAACACGCTACGATTGGTAGAACAAAAGAGATGTACTTTGATTAATGGAGTTTTGATTAATAACTTTTTAATCAACAATATCCTTGGCACATAAATTTTTCTTGCAATCTAAATTGTCTGATTAAACTAAAGGCTTGCCTAAAGGTCTTTAGCCTTCCTCATATATTAGTCATAAAGAGTTCACTCTTTATTATTGGAAAAATCAATCCGACTTCTCCTTCTATTATGGCTTGCGCAAACGACGGACTTTTCTCCGCGTTTCATGTTTTTTTTTCCGACGAGCACTTTTCACGGACACGGATCCACACTGTTTGTGGTCACGGTGTCCCTTTATTCACCCTCTCATTAAAATAATAGTGCCCATTGGACCTTTATAAGTGGACACACCAACATGATAGTACCCATGCGACGCCATATCAACAACATGGTGCTTTGAAAATGTAAAAGTGATTAAAATGTTAATGGTAATTACTTAATTGTGTTTCATTAATTTAAAGTTTTAGCTTCTCTTCCTCAATTCTTTCATAAATCCGTTAAGATTTGTTTTATTTGCATTTCTCATGATGTAATCTATAGACGCTAAAGAATTCCTTCAACAAATATTTCCCCATTGGCCTTTCGGTCGTGATACTCTTTTTTTGATGTATCATATAAAGGAGTTCTTTTTCCACTTCTTTACCACGTACCGCGGACTAAAGTCCGCCGTGTGCGATGACACCTAGTGTCTTTGTCCTGTCTAGTCCGGTGTCCGAGGTACTTCGGGGGCCTTTTTGTCCGCGGCATTTTTAATGCGTCTTGTGTATTACTCGGTGCAGTTGTAAGCGATCTATTATGGCGGACAAAAGTCCCTCGTCTGCGCAGGCTATTAGTGGTATCCTTTTGTTATACGTTTTTAGATCATCATAGTTTCATTAAAGAAATGGCCGACTGAACGTGTAAAATTAAAAAAAAACACGCAGTAGTGTCACAAGTCACGACGAAAGAATCGACGCGAAGCGCTTTAGTAGTCGTCGCGTAGCAAGTGATAAATAAAACGTAATTGAGAGACGGAAACGGCCAATGAGTAAATCTCGTCCGTCAATTTATTTAAATTATTTATTAGTGGCCGGCTATAGACACCCGCCGCGATCGCTTTCAGACCGCGTTCACAGAGTCCGGACGCGCGCAGTGATGCGTTGGCGCAACAGTGTCGATATCGAAGTTTACATTCGGTTCATAAATAATATAAATTCTTATATCTTCTATTTTGATTAGAACTACATATATAAAAATAATAATATGAAAGGGTCACGCCGTTTTGTTTCCACTAATCCTATTAATATTAAGAATGCGAAAGTTTGTATGGATGTTTGTTATTCATTCACGCAAACTACTGAACGGATTTGTTTGAAATTCGGTATGCATATAGTTTATGACCTGGATACTTATACTTATATTAGATACTTTTTACTGGGAAAATGTTTGGTTCCTGTGGAATTTTCCAAAAACTAAAGTTTACGCAGACGAAGTCGCGGTTGGCCGCTGGTATAAGTTTGCAATTAATGTAATTTTGAATAAACTTTGTTTTTATTCAAAATCACATTAATTGCAGGAGCTTCAAATTACATACAATACTTTACAATAGTAGTTTATTAAGAATTTGATTTCTATGTTTATAAAAGGCTGGTACTATAAAGATATATACTTACCATATTAAATTTGAACTAACACATTTTTATATTTTTTATTATATCGATAATGTGGTATATCGACATGTGCTTAGCTGAAGATGAGTTAGGTTAGTTAATTTGTGCAGATACGGCACAATGGACGAGGAAATAATATATACATATATGTGTGTACTCGTTTGATTACATGTAGTTATATACGGAGATTGTAATTGGCGTAATTGGACGAATCTGGACGCGCTTAATAATGGACCATTGTCGTAATTCAAATGGCAATTCATCGTTTATGAAAGAAATGATTCATTACTACTCTTCAATTAAAAAGTTTGGTACTAATATTGTAATAACGCTCATATTCTCTAGGATACATGAATAATAGGTTTTATAACAGAATTTATTTAGTATGTAGGTTTATGTTGATGTCATAACGTCATAAAGGATTTTTTCCCGTTAATGACAGTTAAAGAATAAAATGTCTTTCTTTCGTGATATCATTGTAATGATATAATGACAATAAATATATTTTATTCTTTCCCATTACTTGTTTGTCTTTATTCAGCAAGATGGTTGGTTACTTACACCATTTAACTCACAGATAGAGAACTCTGCCCGTGGTGTATACAACAGATTAGAAATACCACACCATTTTTGGCATCGTATTATCACACCCATTTTGTGAATTTGACCGCGGTCGGTGACGAACCAGAAATTTTTCAGCACTGCCTCTCCAGGAGGTATCACAGACATATCCACGAAGACTTATCTTTAGACGAGGAAAACAATTCCTTGATCTATCGGTGGGCGATCAATCTCTATTATTATGTGTTGCATTAAATGATAGAACTTACCCATTGATGACAATGACGGACCAGAATTGTTTCAGCACTGATTTTCACCCCTAGGTAGATACCAGAAATGTATACGTATCTATGTAGACTTTTATCTTTCGGTCAGCGGTCGAATACTGTATTATGTGTTATATTAAATGAAAAAACTCAACCATTACTGTCAATGACGGACCAGATATGTTTCAGCACAGTTTTCACCGGCAGTTAACACAGTTGAATACATATATATGTAGACTTATGTATAGAACAGGAGAGGGACCCCTTGGCCTTTCAGTCGGCGAGTGAAAATGGTATAATTATATTTGTTGCATTAAATGAAAAAGCTCATCCATTGATGTCAGTGACGGACTTCTTGGTCTCTTTGTTTGCGATCAAGCGCTAAATAATGTTGCACTTGCATTGTAAAATTCACCCATTGATGTCAGTGACGGACCAGAAATGTGTCAGTACCGTCTTCGCCAGGAGGTACCGCAGTTAAGTCCACACTCATGTCGAGTTGTCAATGGACGACGAGAGAAACTCCTCGGTCTCTTGGTCAGCGATCAAGCGCTGAATAATGTTGCGTTTGCATTAAATATAATAATGTCGCATTAAATAAAAAAACTTACCCATTGATGTCAGTGATAGACCAGAAATGTTTCAGCACCGCCTTTGCGAGGAGGTACCATAGTTGAGTCCACACCCACGTCGACTTGTCTATGGACGATGAAAGGAACTCCTTGGTCTCTTCGTCTGCGTTCAGTTGGACAAATTTCGACTGAAGCTCGGGGCTCAAACGGGTCTTGTCAACGCGATACCACTGCAAGAATTTCAAATTGTTTTTTAAGTCATAATCCATAAAGTATTTTATCTAAGTTACACGACAAAGGCATAATGATTTTACTTCATGAAAAGGTAAGTTTCGATGTCAATTAATTGGTTATGGGTGTTCAAATTAAGTTTTGGATATAGTGGATGATTTAAGTTCCGCTAAAATTTTGGGTCAGATAGCCTGTGTTTTGTTTTAATCATTATTATCATTATGTACCTTAGCTAGAAATAACGATAGATTAGAATGGATTTTTGGGAGTTTATATCATGGCCCGTAATCTAAACATATATTTTAAAAGATTTCGTAACTGTTTTAGTTAGCATATACCTACGTAAAAAGATTACATGCTACCAATTTCAATCATTAAAGTAGCATAATCGCAGAATTATCAGAGGCAATATAAAATGAATACATTAAAATATAGGATCGCGTATTAGTAACAACGTGATCAAAGGAACGATCACAGCTCCTGGCACAATTGGATCCGTAAATTGATGTTCAACAACCAAGCTTGCGTGTTCCTAATGAAACTACATAAAAAGAGTAATCGAGTGCAAATAAGAGAGCAGTATGAAAGAGCGCGTAGCGTAGCTCGTCACCCGTTGTGTGTTTAAGCCAGCCGCCGCGGCCCTACAAAGACTACGGCCGCTGTTAATTTCACGCCGACTCGAATTAACATTTCTTTACGCCACACCATAATGACGAATTAAAAAAAACATCTCGCTTCTACATGCGTTAATGACGAGCGGACGGTGGCTGGACGCAAACTCATCAGACCGACTTAATTAATACACGATGTGTCTTTATATTAAAATCAGTCGAGGCAAAAACTGTTAACTATTAAGACGGTTCTGTATATAGGCGGGCACACCGAAAACAGAATTGTGAAACGGTATAACGGTAACAAATATCCGTGTTAGACACACAGTTGATGATAATAAGCCAACTTTGTTATTCTATTAGTAAACCTGACTTTTCAAGAAATTGTGTATAAAGTGGTTGGGTTTTCATCAATAACTATGAGCTCATGGGCATAATATTTATACTCATTTTGAAACAGGAACGCTGGTTCGATTAATTTTTCAGAATTTTTATCATGGGCAACATCTTCGTATTGTCCATAATTGATCTAAGTTTTTATTTATTTTTGTTAATAATTTTCGATAAAAGTTTTAAGATGGAAGTAAGGAACCCAAATAATTATATAAAACCGGTAGTTGAAACAATCGTCACGGCAAATCGAACCGTCATTCAAGCCCAGCGCGTCGGCATCTTGTGTTCAATGTTTAGAGACCCGTTGGGAGAAAATAACCTGATATTTTGCTACTTACTCCATGTATCATAATTACTTATATTTACAATAATCAAATTAAAATAATATTAAAATAAATACAAAAAATATTCCCGTCAACGACCAAGCAAAGGTAGTAAAAAATTAACAATTATTTTTCCTATCATTTTAAAATCAGTTTATTATTACTAAATACCAAAAACGTTAGTTGATTTTAATGTAATTCGGGTACTTAAGTAGTATTCATGTTATGTTCAATCCTCATATAAGAATTTAATTGGGATTTCTACACCATCATCTATTGCTGCATAAAATCACTGTAATTATTACAGTGATTTTATTATTTATATTATTATATTAAAAGACCTTACGAAGACATTTTTTCTTGAAGGCAAACTTTTATAGTAAACGGATTCAATTCGATAATTGCGTTACTATAATAAAAGTTTGCCTACATAAATATCTTTTAGTGTTGACACACCATCATCGGTTAGATATATAACCTATAAATTTATTCTCAATCCAATAAACACATCTCAAGGACTCGCGGCGCTACATTTGGAATTTGATTTCGACCATTGATTCATTCAAGCTAAAGTGTTATTCGGAAACAACAAACTGGAAATCCTATCTAGCTAAAACAGTTTTAGAAACTAACATAAAAGAATAACACTGATTAATTACCTAAACTGAAACTGTAATTAATATTAACACTCACGCTTTTTGTGTTAACCCTTGTCTTCTATCCTCCCTATCTCAACTCAGTTTCTTCTCCGCCCTTACCTTCAATCCCTGGCCTAATCCCGAATTGGTCTCGGGTATGGGTGAGAACTAAATACCCAAAATTTATCTTCCCACCAACGCTTACTAATTCAATCATGAAAAACTTTCTTAAACACGAATTAAATAAAAAAAACATATAAACATGATGCGGTAATCAGCTCTTCGACGTTGTTGGTTAGCAAAAACAGAAGCGAGGTGAATAAATATACCGGACAATTTCGATTAGATGTATTATGTCGTATTAAATAATCAATATCTAGAACATTTATTACGATGGAACGGAAAAAGGTATATCTCTTATCGTAAAAACCAAAGAAAATAAATATTTAGTGCCGAATACTGATAGCGAATCACGTTGGTGATTATGCAATGCGCCGTCTTTCCATTTAAAATAGCTTGCATTGGAAGTACGGAATCCGACAAGGCGAAATCTCCAGACAGAATACAAATCGTGGAAAATTTCTGAATGTCGACCTCTTTGATGACACACAAATGACGTCGGGCTACATCCGAGGAATAAAAAAACCAAAATATTTAAAGTAACTTATTTTATTAGAAAAAAAATTGAAATTAATATTTTATACGTAATTATAAGTGCTACAAATATGGATGCTGCGTCTTTACTTCTTGCTTGATGTCTTCGGATGAGGATAATGATTAATGTCATTGTAAGGATGCTGATTAGTAAGTATATCGGTATTGTCGTGTGGTATATGCTGTAGATAGGTAAACTATAAGATTTTCTGGATGCTGCGTAATTATCTTCATGCTGCTTGAGTGTAGATTACTGAGGTTGACTGAATTCAGTTTCAATGCTCTCGCTGTGACGTTTATTCTTTGTGCTTCGATCTACGGGAGGTCAGTTATCTTCACAACTTGTCCTTTAATTCTGTCGTGAATATTGCTGATTGTAAATTTGGATGTCTGTAACATGCAGCCCTTATGATGGTGATTAGATAGCTGCCAGTTATCATCTTGTACTGTCCTTGTGCACATAATAGTCGAACTCTGGTGGCATTGCGAAAGCTGACTACGTAAATTATATCGTCGAGCCTCTCCATAGCTTCTGTCTTTAGCCCTTTAACGTAACTGTAGTGAACTGGCAGGAATCTCTGACTTCTTGGTTGATGATAAGATGCTGGATGCTGTCCGGTCGACCTCTTAGGTGCTGCTGTGGTTGATCTTCGCAAAGATACCATTTATTTGCCCTCGGACATTCAGTCACCATGTACATATAAACATCTTCGTGGACTGCTATGTAGGGATGAGCAGGGATTAGAATCTCATTATCCTTGTTTGGAAGCTAGCGAGAAATGCATGTTTTAGGCAGGAAAATCGGGACCTTATATATAAGCACTAAGTTGTTATCGTTATAATAATAACCCGGTCTTATTACGTAAAAGTACTTTCTTATAACTTTTTGGAGTACCTCTTTTTTATTATATATTTTTCTAGTTTATTTACCTTATCTAATAGTGTATTATAATCTATCATAGAATTATGCATACTTTTGGTGCGAATAAAAGCTAAATAGTTTTGTATGTCACTGAGTTTTTGAGAAAGGTTATCTATAGTATCACCTAAGATTAAGAGGATTTGTGTTAGATGTGCCTATTTTATCAAGTTAGTTTCATTGCCTCACTTTCCAAGATAGAATTTATGAAACTTTAAATTTTCCCTACACGGGCATGCCGGGGGGCGGTACGGTGGGCACTAGGCCGCATACTCAGCCTCCACGCGCGGGTCTTCCTGCGCTCGTCTGCTGGGTCCTCGCAATACCCCGGGAGACCGCTGCCGTGGAGCCCCGGCTAGGTCTGAAGGCTTTTGCGTGCGGAGACGCCGCAGAATCCCTAAACGGGGATCCCGCGGTTTCGCACTTCGCAGCTTAGAGGGTATTCGCAGGGGTTTTAGCGGATATTATGCCGTAAAGCTCCCGTAAGAGTGACGGGGTCCACAGTGCCTCTTAAAGGCGCCATAGTCTTTAAATAGAGGTTTTGCCTGCGTAAAAAAAGGGTTCATCACTACCTGATGGAACCCGCTGGCCAGGTCTAACATTGTGAAATATTGGTAATTACCCAGTTTGTCCAAGATTTCAGCTATATTAGGTATCGGATATTTGTCATCAATGGTTTTTTCATTGAGTTTCCTAAAATCAACTACGATGCGCCATTTCCATTTACCTGAGGCATCGTTTTTCTTGGGTACTACCCATATAGGGGAACTCCAGGCTAAGTCTAATGGTCTAATGATTCCCTGTTCTAACATTTACTGAATTCTTGCCGGTGAATAAATGGATATCTATAGCTTTTTGTATAGACAGGTACTTCATCTGTGGTTTTTATAAAAAGTTTAATATTATTTGTGAATGTAAGAGTCTTACTTTCAATATAGAAAATGTCTGAATACTGTGCACACACCGATTCTAGATTAGCTTTTTATTTCGGATTCAAATGATCCGTACGTAACCTAGAAAGAACTACCATAACACGTGATGGACATTGCTCATGGCACTCTATATTATAGATTTATGACGTAAGCGCCCTGTCCATAGAAAAAAATACATTATTCCGAGATAGGTTAAATATTTCTACAATATCTCAGTTTTGCTTAACTGTAGTGACACATTCCCCTATAACACAATTCGAAAGATGCTGTTCTTCTATTAGTGCCTCCCCATCTTTAATATTAATTGGTATTCTAACTAACGTACATGAACCTGCAGGTATGATATCTTCATATAAGTTAACGTTACGAGAATCGTAGAATTTATATTATTGGAGGCTTGATCTGGATTTAATAACAAATTTTTATAACCGATTTTTGTCTCCCATTTATGTAGTAAATCTGAACCTATGAGCCCAACGAAAGAGTCGTGGAATGTGTAGACAAAAAAGGTCACAACATGTTTGGATCA